ACAACGCGTAGGGCCAACATCACTATATTTCTGGTAACCTGACAGGAAAGTGTCCTACAAAGGGATCATAAAGACAACTTCAGGCTGAAACAAGGATACAGGTTGACCCAGTGTAACAAGACACTATGTTGAAAACGAACTTTACAACTTTGAGGTGGGGGAAGAGGGAGGAGTTGGGGAGGGAAAGGATGGTAGGGGACAAACAAAGGAGGGGGTAACAATGCTTGATCGGCAATGGACTCATTACCTTACTCATGTCACTGTAACCCCTCTGTACAGTAACTTTACAATAAAATAAAGACAACTTCAGGACAGATATGCCTGGAGAAGGTCTTCTGTGAGTAAGCAATCACATCCCTCACGCACACACAAAAAGAACTGTCAGAGACTTCAAAAGACCCATCCCATTAAATTGTCTCGCACAAGCTAGTTTTGTCTCTCTTCCTTCCAACCTTCCCAAGGAACTATTTCTGTCTTCTTTGGATGCATTCCGTCCCTGAAGTTAAAAAATAAATAAAACCTGCTAGCAAATCAATACAGTGTCAGAAAGATTCTGAGAGATGAAATCTGGCATAATTTTGGCCAGAGTCTAAAGAGACAAAGGCAAAGGGCAGGTCTCCGGCGGACGTTTTCTTTAAATAAAATGAAGAAAATCTGTGACTACCCCTTCATGCTTCAAGCCCCCACTCATCTGTTCTTCAAAGGTTTCCCCGCGGTACTGAGCTGTATGCCTTGCACTTGTATCCGTGTGCCCACTGTAACTGTCCCCGGACCTGCACAGTGATTAACCCGAAGCTGCCCACAGCCTGGTTTGAGCTCCACTTCCTCTGCCTCTTTACCCCACAGATAATTACAAAGACTCCTATTTACCAAGTCCAAAGTGCTCCTGTTCACCCACGCCTATCCTTTGCACAGCTGCTCTCCTGTGTGTGACAGGCTACCACCTCCACTACAGTCCCCAAGGAGACAGCATGGCATCTGGGCTCCAGGCGAAGGGCCTGCGTTCTGGAAGCCCCTTGGGTCCAGTCCAGCCATTACAGCTGAGGACAAGACCTGCCTTGGACAAGTCGTTTTCATCCTGAAATGATGGAGTCAGGCAAAGTGCTGACTTCCCTGAATGCTGAGGACCATGAGCTGAGATGCTGCTTGTCACTGGATGAGCGTAGTCCTGTCCTCGGGAAGTGTTGGCTGCTTTAGTAGTTCATGCTGGCAAGAGTAATAAAAATGAAAGTGACAGTGAAGATGAGGATGAAGCTGGTGATGGTGCTGATGGTGATGGTGGTGATTGTTATGGGGATAATGACACCTCCGGAAGTTTTCCCATGCCACCGCATCTGCTCGTTTTAATTTGTATTAGGCCATCTTTCCCCCGGGCCTGTACTGTCCCTGAGGGTGTACTTCATGCCTGATTCAACTTCCCACAACCTCCAGCTCCTATGGCTTTTCTCACCCAAAATAGTCTCCCTAGAGCACTTCTGAATGTACAAAGAGAAAACTACTATAGATGCTAACAAAGAATATAGTAAAACAACAACAACCAATACCAACTAAGTTGTCCTAACCCAACAAGTAGGCATTCCAGACATGCTCTGATAAAGACCACACACTCACAAGGAACCACGACCCCTTCTGAATGAGAACCTTCTGTAAGGATAGCTGAGTGAAGATTGCCAGGAAATGTTAAGACTCGAGTACTTCTGACAAGAACTCTCTGCCAGCCTCTCTGGTGAAGGAACACTGAAACATCAACAGGAGGGAAACAAACTCTGGAAATCACACAGTCCCCCCATGCCTAGCTTTCATGTTGAGAGGCTTTACAGACAGAGAGACCTGCTGGTGATATCATTAACATCCACTCTTTATGTAACCACACATAACTCAATCGCTTGGCCATTATTCTGTTAGTTTTCTTATTACATGTGACCAACTGACTCCTCTAACACACACACACACACACACACACAGAGCCATAACTCTGGAAGTACTAATTACCTAATAAAGAAACATCTGGGCCAATCCTGGCTTCCTTTAAAAAAAAATCTTAGAGTTAGGAAATTTACCTTTAGATGAAAGCATTCCAACCCAAAGTAAAAGAGACGCAGGATTCTGCATATGTATTAAATAATGAAACTTGAGCTTTCAAAAGAAATCAAATGAAGTAAGCCAGACCCAGAGTAACACAGGGTGCCTGATTTCCCTCATTTGTGGCAGCTGGAATGTGCCTATAAATCTACAAGTAAACACACTGGGTGGTACAAGGGGTTCCAAATGAATTAACTGAAGGGTAATAGATTCTATGGAGAGAGCACAAATAGAATGATTCTTTTAAAAGATCAAAGCCCAATAAAAATAAGTAGTAGGAAATGGGTACTTGCCAAGAAGGAAAGTGGGGCCAAGAGGAGAGGGGTAAAAGATTGAAGGAGGGGAGTGGGAGACAGCAGGCAATAACTCATTGTTTATACCATGGAATTGAGAAATGTAAGGGAAGCCATGGGTCAAAGTTGGGTGAAGATGTGGAAGCGAGGACACAGATCAAGATGCATTGTGCACATAAACTGCTTTGTTCAATGGCAAAAAAAAAATTAATACATAACCTAAAATTAAGATAGGGAAGGGATGGGTTGGAAAGGGTGGGTGAGAATGGTCAAGATGCACTGTAGTCAAAACCTGCTCTGTTGAGTGGCAACTCCTTTATACAACTACTTAAAGATAATAAAAAGTATTATCAAGTTATTTTAAATATCAGTCAAACATATCTTCTCCACTTACTACTCTTCTACAAATACTGGAAGGAATTAGAGGTTCAAACGGTGACAAACGCTACCTTGTTTCATGGCATGACAAAGTATTTTTCATCTTGGGGTTGCTGATATTGTTAAGTGTAGCCATGGGGTTTCCTGATTTTATGATGCAGCCTCACAAAATCTCCAGACCAAATGCAAGAAATTCATCAACTACTACTAACAAAGGATAAGACTAAACTTATGTCACTGGGAAATGAGCGGTCACAAATCAGTGTGTGATGGAGTGCCCCTCTCCTCTTTGAGCATGACCCCCACTGAACAGCTTTCTTGGCTGCCTCTTTCCTGCTTCTGCCAATATGCAAAATGGTCCATCCTATTTGTGTCTGTAGCCAGGATATTTGTGGCACTTGTCTCTAGTCTTCAAAACAACCCATTGTTCATAAATCTAGGGCACAGTCACAAATTTTCTCACCCTATCCTGTATAAACACTCATCTCCAAATTGTATTATACAATATACAAGATGTAAATTCTTATGAAGAATGAGAGTAAGGGACAAATAGATGCCTCTTCCTGTTACAGCCATAAAATCATTAGTCACACACTGATTCATTCCTTCATCTCCAGGAGTTATAGGGCATTTGAATTTGTCCAGAAGTGAAAATGTTTTATTGCAATACTCCGGTATCTGTTATGGTCTACTCCCAACCACCACTGAAATATTAAAATATTTCAGTTTCCCTGAGACTCACAGAAACCTAGTTTCTGTAGTTATTAAAAGCAAGTGTAAGACTATTTCGGTGTTCCTGCGATGTTCCAGGCATCCTGGAGTTTGCAGATACAGAAATCTTTTCAATCATCATTAGCTAATAAGATTTCCCACCTAAAACTGGAGGAATTTCATTCAAAATGCAAAATTTACCTGCGTGTGTTCTATGAAAGTTCTCGAAATTTCATCTCAGTTTCCAGAGGCCCAGACACAATGACAGGTCAAGAGGAATGACCTTCAAGCCTGGCCATCCAAATGATACATTATGGCTCCACAGCACTGGGAGCTTAAATATTTCCTGTGCTATGGAAAGGGTTGACGGCAATTCTCCTGGGGTTAATTCGCATCTGGAAGTGGCTGTGGACACTCTGCTTCTTGCCTACAGGGACAGTTCATAGAGAAGACTAGATAGTGACAGCACTCCACGCTGGTGGCCTGGGTGCAGTACTGCTCCTCACTAGATGTCATATCTCGTGGGAAGTTCCCTCATCCTTGGGTTGAAGATCTATACCTGCAATGTATGGACAATCATGACACCTTCTTCATCGAGATGGAGTGGAACCAAGTGAGACTGTCCTTGCTCCTGCTCTTAGCACACTGAGGAAGTGAAGGGTAAAATGTTTCCAGTGTCAGCCAGGACGAGCAGGTAGAAATATAATCCTGCTATCCCCACCAGCTAGTTTGTTTGTTCATTTATTTATTCTAGAAGAAGAAGGACACAAGACACCATTCAGGGGCTAATCTTATTGGTGGTCAACAACTGACCAGCTAGAACCAGAAAAGTAGTTAACAGAACTACCTATGGTACCTAAGTTTGGCAAAATCAAGACTTAGTCTCAGGAACAAAGGGCATAAAATTCTTGTCATTTTTTTAGTGTTTCTGTGTCTGTGTGCCTCTGTGTGTGTGTGTGTGTGTGTGTGTGTGTGTGTGTGGTGTGTGTGTGTGTGCGCGCGCGTGCACACGTGCATGTGCATTTGCTAGTTCTGGGGCTTGAACTCAGGGCCTGGGCACTGTCCCTGGGCTTTTTTTGCTCAAGGTTAGCACTCTACCATTTGAGCCCCAGCTCTACTTCCAGCTTTATTGGTGGTTAATTGGAGTTACATGTCTCACAGACTTTCCTGCCCAGGTTGGCTAGAAACTGCAATCCTTAGACCTCAGCCTCCTGAGTAGTTAGTGTTACAGGTGTGAGGCACAAGCACCCAGCTTTCTATTCTTTCTTTTACTGTAAATATTCAGAAGCAGTTTGGCATAGCCCAGGTACATGAGTCCCTTCTCTTTCCAAAGTTTTGGGAAATTATGTTTTCTCACATGATTAAACAGCAGCCATCATAATTCAGAACTGAATTTGAATGTGACGGGCCACCCACCTTCTCTTTATTCCAAGCGGACTGCCATCTTAGCAGGGGTTTTAGAAAAGCAAAGATGAAAGCCCACTGGGTTTATACCTGGGAGAAGGGTCAAATCAGCCATGAAATTATGGTACTTACAAACATGAGGCGAGTCGGTATGTTGTCTGATTGCACCAAAGGATTTTTATAGAGCCAGATCTCTTCCGGCTGGATAACTCGCTGGAATGGATCCAAAAACTCTGTAAAACTGAAACAAAGCAAAGATCATGAGAGCTGAGCATTGTGCTAGGGGTGGCGGTAGGCTGACCCAAGTAGACCCCTCCACAGGGAACACATCTGCCCTCCAGTGTGGGCGCCCTGCTGCTGCTTCTGGGCCCATTCCAACCATAGAATGACAAAGACTCAGAACAAAGATCAGTTCTCTGAGTCAGGAAATGGCTTTGAGGCTGCCCTACAGAGACTCTTAAGAACCTGGAACTGAAAATTAATGCAAAAGCTAATGTGTAATATGGCATGTCTGAGACAGCAAGGCCAGGCCAGACTCTGGGAAGAAAATGGGCTTAAGTTGGAACAAGCATGAGAAAGCAAATGGCTCTTAAGAGAGCAACTGTCCACATTCTTCTCCTCACATTACCTCGAGGCACCATGCTGTGCCCACCACCTCCTCTAGGGGGCAGAGTGAGGGTGAAAAGATTCCAAGAGAAGTTGGTCGTTTGGGGGCTGGAGAGGAATGTCAAAAAACATATGTTTTGGGTCTGCTGACTTAACAGCATTAAGCCTCCTTCCTCTTCATTCCTCAAGACATCCCACTCATGTCCTGAGATCCTTGGTTGGGCAAGGGGGAAACTAGGGAAGTGATGGTGGAAAAGGCATGCGCTTGCTTTGTTGGCTCTCAGCTATCAGCGTCCCCCCCCAGCTCTCCTGCTCAATCTCTACTGGGTGACAAGGCTTCGGATACGACCAGATGAAGCCACAGGACCAGGAGAGGCAGGGTTCAAGTGCCAAGCCAAGGAACTTCCAATCTGGCCAAGTCAATGACAGACTCAGCAAAGGGGATGGGAAATCCCAGTCAAAGCGGTTACTCTAAGAGTGGAGAGGATGGGACTTGGAGCAGAGCAGAGGAGGAGACACAGAGCTGGTCCCCCATCTGGAAGAGGGACACACCTTACAGAGCTGCAGTGAAAACCAAAGGAAAGAGCCTGCACGCGGATGCCTAACAGAACGTCAACAGAAGCTGGCGTTTTATCACCACGGTGGTTCCGCTGTAGCCTGCAGCTGAATGTTTGCACCAGGCAATTTTCATGATTCTGTTTGCTTGATATTTGTGGCAGCCTATTCCCTGCTCCCAAGTGTTTTTAAAACATTTTTAAAGGACATGAAATTCAACAAATTCTGTTTGAGAAATGTCTTCAAGAGTGCATAACCTACTTAGAGTAACTTCGGCTTCAACAATACTCCACTGCCTGCATAATGATCCCCCCCTCCCCGCCCCCTACAATGTTTTGTTGGCTCTTGCATTTGTGGATCAGAAAGGCAAGAGAGGTTTAGCTTTCATGTGGCTTCGGTGTGTGACACTGAAGCTTCTCAGCACGCTGGCTGCCACAGGCCAGCCACTGATGCCAGCTGACATCCGGGAGTCCTGCTAGCGCTTCCCTGAGCCCTTCCACATGCCTTGCCAGCACTGTGGTCCAGGAGGGAGTCAGCATCCTTCACCACCACTGGCCTCCCCCAGAATAAGCATCCTGAAAGAAGCAGGCAGAAAACAGAGTAGCTTCTCTTGGCCCTGCCCGGGAGCCACACAGAGCAGCCTGCACCACCTCTGTCTGTGAGGCATAAGTCAGCCAGATCGGAGGGAGGGAAGGTAACACAATCTGTTGGCCAAGGTGTAGGCAGGGAACATCTCATGACTGAAAAGCAGGTAGATGCAAGCTACAGCTAAAACACCATCTGCCACCACAGTGCATTATTAACTACAATGGTCCCCACTTTCCCAGGACTGCCATTCCCATTTGTTCCCCCCTATTCCTCAGGAGCCACAGGGCTGAAGAACTCGATACCTCCCATCTTCTCTGTCTTCCAGGTTCTACTTTCTGCATGCAATGTTTTCTAAAGTCCCGTGCACCCTGCCTTTTTTTTTCACAAATCTCTCACCCTACCCAGAGTAGTTGCAGCCAGAACACATCTATCAAGCAAATTACACCCTGTGGGAGCAACAGTACCAAGAAAGATAGATGTCCCTTCTTCCGCCCAGCTCCAGCCACCGGTGTCTGCCTCAGAAACCCAGACAGTAAGGCAGCTGCTCAGAGGACCAAGGGCTCATGGATGCTCACGGGGGCAGAGGAGGGCAAGCCATGGATGAAAGTCCTGGAGACATTCCAAAATGTTCCAAGACAGGGCAGGCCCAGACCTGAAGTGTCCTCTACATGCGCCTTGTCATGTGCCAGGTCAGAGAACCCCCAAACTTTAATATAACCAGGAAACTGTGGGGGGTGGGGGACATTGGTGACACTGCAGATCCAGATACAAGGAAGACCCTATCAACTACAAGTTCCTGGTCTCACCCCAGGCCTACTGAATCTGAATCCACAGGTAACAAAACTCACAGGGGATTCTTGTGAATGGGATTGTCTGAGACCGAGTGTCCTCAGGGACAAGCCAGGGTGTGTCAACTTGGGTCGAGTATGGGCTGGGTTCACTGGTCTTGCCTTGTCCTGCTTCTGCTACTCCTGTGACTTTTCCCTTGGGAAACTACATTAGTTGACTGGTGAAGAAATTTCGTGTCAACACCTCCCTAGACAAGGGGGTAAGCACCAAAATCAGGCAATGGAATGGAAGCCTGCAACCCAGTCCCAGCCTGTGACACTGCCTTGTGAGCAGAGGCCTGACCTCAGAGGCTTGATCTCCCTCTGTGAGGGAAAAGAGGGCAGTGAACTCACCAAGACCTTGCTGTGCTGGAGAGCTGGGGGGTGGGGGGAGATGAGAGGGAGGGGAAGGAGGAGCACCAACCTTCTCTCTGCCTGCAATGTTACCTTGGTCTCAACCACATCGGATCTAACCCACCTCACAAAGCCCCTAAGATCATCCCAGGTCCCACATAAGTTATGGGAGAAGAAAAAAACAAAAGATTCAAATCTGAAAAAAAAAACAATTCAAAGGTACAGTAATCTGGGACCCTTCCAGGCAGTGGAAAATAGCCTCACCGGCATTAGTAATTCTTGCAAGGATGTCTGCATATGCCCGGCCAGTGTAGCGACCAATAGCTAGACTCTCATAAACAGCTGAAGAAAATGTAGCAACACGTTGACCACTGGAAGATGTGTGAAGCTACATATGTTTACTTTTATTCCCAATAACCATAATGCAGGAAGAAATGTCTAATGTCCAAAATTCTTGGACAGGTCTATTGGCGGATCAATTTTTACACTAATTTAGTGTACAAAGGAATTGTGTCTAGAGATCTATCCTGCTCTCCTCCAGGTCTGAGGGCTGGACCTGCTGTCTTCACAGTGAACGATGTTTGTCCAGCTCCACTGAGCTCTGGTTATGAGAAGTGTCGGGGTGACTGTGTGCAGAAGGCAGGAGGCTCTACGCTCCACTTGTGTGGATTACTGCCTCCTCAAGAGAGGAGATGCTTAGCAGTAGGCTATGATTTCTAAACTGTCATCAGATTGGATGACCAAAAAGAAATGGAAAGGAAGCATGCTGTATAGAAAGGCGTGGGAATTCAGCAGATGCAGAGCATAGATTCTATTGATTGCTAAGGGGGAAAAAATGCTATCTCACAGGATTGCACAGGTGGGAATCTCATGTTTTCCTCACTGTCATAAATAAACCAGCCGCCAGTGCCAGTCTCATTTCCAAATGATGACTTCTCCCCACGCTCTAAGAATTCACAAAACATTAACTACTGTCAACACCATTTTACATGAAAATAAGCTATCTCTACTTTGTAGGTCAAATATCTCTATGTGAAAATCATGGAGTTCCGACAGAAGTAAACAGACCATTTGCTTCCGTGGAAACGATCACTGTCTAAGGTCAACTAACTTGTTGGGTTTTAAGACAATTCCTGCTTCTGTTCCTGTGCTGGCTGAGTTGAGGGATTTTTCTACCTCAATGTGTATCTTAATTTCTTCTTGGCGAAGTGTGAATAGTATTACTTGTTTTCTCATTAATTTTTTATGATAGAAGTTTGAATGAGAAGCTTGTAAAATATACATAGTGAAAATTCAAAGACACAATCCTAATTATGCCTGGCAATTCGCTCTTTATCGTGCATAGTTCATGCATCATGTAAATCCTCCTGAACTACATACCACACACACATGACGTATGCAAATATACACACATACAATATCTGCAAGTATGCATACATAAAACAAGTATAAATATGCACACAATTATGTGCAAACACACATACATCGAACACGTAAAACTTACTCCCCTGTACACACATCAAACCTGAGTTTAAATGAGTTGAAGGCAAGAAAAAACATGCCTTTTGTTTGTTTTGTTCTCATCTTGGGGCTTGAACTCAAGGCCTGGATGCTGTCCCTGGGCTTTTTTAAAATTTGTCTCAAGGTTAATGCGCTATCATTTCAACCACATCTCGACTTCTGGATTTGGGTGGTTAGTTGGAGATAAGAATTTCACAGACTTTCCTGCCTGGGCTGGCTTCAAACCACGATCCTTAGACCTCAGTCCTGAGTAGCTAGGATTACAGATATAAGCCACCAGCACTGGGCCAGCATGCTTTTTTCTTTTTTTAAGACACAGGGAAGTGGAAAAGAAGAAAAGGAAATGTAGATGCTGCCAACAAATGAGAAACAAGCAGAACACAGCACTAACACAGGAAAGGAGACAAAGCAAACAACAGAAAACCAAACACTTTTCTCCTCTGGGTATGCTTGGGCTCCCAGCTACTCTTCCATGGCAAATTATCAATCACCTCCCGCCTTGCTTCCTTGAGCCACCTGAGTCTTCACTTCCAAGTAGCAGGTGACACAGAGTCACCACTGGGACCCCTCCATCGCTTTTCTATCCTGGCATCAAATAAAATCATGACCTCACCACTGGAAGGTCTCCAGACTGCATCTAGACTCAGGCCAAATTAGCACCAGGCTCACACCCCCACCCCAACACCACCTATGTGCTTGCTGACACTTGCTTCCTCCCACCCTCCCTGCGGCCAGCCCTATTCCCATAGCACACCCCCCAACGCAGCAATCTAGGGTATGTATGCGTCAT